CCCTGCATGTCATTGGTTTCTAGAGCTCTAAACACACCGGTGGTCAGGTGCTGTGTTACAGGGCTTGCCTCAGCTCCTTCTCCCCTGTTTATGATAAGCATGTATTTTTGCAAGCTTTACAAGCTTGTTCTGTGCAATGCCCAAGCAGCCACAAAACATCTGAGAGGCTGGCAAAATGGAAATGCTTTGAGGATGGCTCATTTGTATTTGTCAGAGAGACCTGTGAGGATTCTTTCTTTCGCCAGAATTTTTCCCAGAAGCCTGATCTAAAATGCTGCTTAAGAATATGCTTACATTGAAGCACAAGTACAGACTGGGGAAGTCGGTGGAGTTGTGCATTATCATTAGGCACATGTTTCAGTCCCTGCTAGGACTGAGGGTCCTTAGTCTGTGAGGGTCGCTTTCTCACACTGAAGGGTTGGCAAGAACACCCAGCACTTTTGTAATACGTCTTTCACTCATTTGCTGACTAGCTGGCATCAGCTAAAGCAGCTCATTGGTGACAGCTAAATATGTTTGGGTGTCATGGCCCAGCGCTGAGCCCACTAGTGCTGCCTGCAGTGGCTATACTCCGTGTTCCTCACAGAACAGAGGTGGAGAGGTGGGATTCGTCTACCCCAGCTTCAGACACCTACGCTAGAGGCACCTACTTCTGAACATGTCACCCCAGACTGTTTAGAAGAGCTGGTGGAGAGAAACAAGCACTTGGTGAGGGTGATTCATCTGGCTTGCCTTTATCATCTACTTTAGGAGGAGATAAATCATGCTATGCAAATGTCTTTTTGCTGTCTACTAACTATGCAGAAAGTGTAAATCACTGTCTCAGATACACAAGTCTGCTCAGTAGAAGTCTCAAACTGAGAAGACAAATGCCACCCTTGGTTTTTATCAGTATCACATTTTGACATCTACAGTGAGGTATAGTGTGGTGCTGCAGTAAGTCTTTAGCTGGCTATCTGTGCACAGGAGTCTCAGACCTTAAAGCACTTTTGAAGTGGTCTGGACAGGTTGTTTAAAGGTGTTAACCTCTGCTAGGGTGGATTTTGTCTGACACACTGCAAGCATCTGTAGTCGGTGAGAAAGGGCACATCATCTAAGGCATCTGCTTTATGTGGGGTGTCTAGTACCTTCCAGTGCCTGTTTTAATCCATGGCCTCAGCCATGAGCATGGACTAAGTAGCTCTGGTATAGATGTCCCTACCACAAGTACCTGAAGTCAGCTGAGAGCGGCCTCACCCGTAATGGAGAAACAGAAAGACAGCTGTCTCCCAGTGTTAGGGATCCCCATGGGTAAAAGCATTGCCAGTAGCACTGGAGGTGATCTCTTCTTCCCTTTGCTTCTGAATGCCATGGCAGAGAGTTTGGGCTGAAAGGGAGGGAGAAGGAGTGGTTCCGGTTGGAATTTAGGAAACAGGAAAAGGCATGAATAAAAGGAAAAATGAAAAGCCAAAATTAGTAAAAGCAAGATAGTCAATTTTCCTCTATCTCAGCATCTTGATTTGTTCTTTTGGGGGATACAGTAGCATACAGAGCAGTCTGCTGCAAGGAGCAATGGAAGAAAACCAGTAAAAGCCTGGAGAAGAGTGTTCAGAAATAGAATTGTTCATTCTGACAAGACATTTTGCCATCTTTAAATTCGTATGGATTCTGTTGCCAGCTGACCATGGTGGAATGTTAGGAAGAGAGTGAAGAGCTTTTCATCCATGTGTGGGTTTGATGTCACCCCATCTGGGACCTAAACTGTGGTTTAGGTGAGGAAAATGTCTCCATCGGGACACAGGGACTGGGCAGGGAAAGCTGCAGCTCTGAGTATTATACATGTCAGCTGGCAGGCAAGTCCCCATCACAGTAAATGAGAGATGAGACCACATGGGTGTATAACATCTATAGTGTCCACCTCTTCCAAAAACAGCCTGGCTTCTGGGGGCAGACTGTGTCCCAGATATCCTCCAGGACAGTGCCACTAGAAAAGGCTGTGCCCATTTGGCATCCAGGCCTGAAGCAGCACAGGAAATGATATGGGCACGATACAGTTTCACTGACAGATACCACAGACACTGACACATGCTTTCAGTGTCAGCTTGTAACTGTGTATTACCAGAATAGTGGTATTACCACAAAATAATGGGACCCATCATCCTGAAACCCATCATACCTGGCATAAGTTTTTACTTCATCCAGCATGTGGAAGCATCCAAAGAATGAGCATCCCTAAAAATTCAACCCTTGAGCTGCAAGATCACTTTAGATGTGATACATGCAATGTTGTCTTTTGCTGAAAGTTCATGTTTCTGTTGGTGTATTTAACATAAAATTAAATATACCTGGACAAGTAATTTTGCCTATGGAGCTGAGAAAGCATCAGTAAAGTTCAGCTTTATTTCATAGGGAGTAATTGACATGGAGTAGAGTTAAAAGGCAGTGATTCCCTTGCGAGTTGTCCATGTGAACTGCTGACTCATGCATATGTGTGCAGTAAAAAGGGGAGCAGAGCAGGCATCATCTTCAGCCTTGGTGGGGATAAGATCTTCACCACAGTGTGTGTTGTGGGGTGTCCATCAAACACTGCACTATTTTATGTAGAGTGTCTGGTGCATCAGATAGTGTAGTCATGATTTCCCCTCTTTCCTCCCCCTACTAGGCCAGAGGGACAGACTTGCTGTCTCAATGCTCAAATCTGATCTTAGAAAACACAGCTTCAATATTGTGATTCAGAGCACCTACTCATCTTCAGATATCATACACCCTAGTGGCTTAAGGCATGCTCACTAATCTAAAATATCTTTAGCAGGAGGGGTTTAAATCCCGATTTCCTGCTGGAATCACTGCAGAGAAGACAGGTACAGCAAGTACCCTGCTAGCTGTCTTCTAGAAGGAGGAACTTTTTTTGCCTACTTCTCCAGGTAGTGTCAAAGATGTAAACTGTGTGTGGAGGAAGGCTGTTCTCTGCACTGACACAGGTGCACAAACCCCTCCTAAGCTCTTGCTTAGCACTCTGGCTGCCCGAGTTTGGGTTTTCCGTGCATAGCAATACCCCTGGTCTGTGGGAAGGATGCTGGAGTTTGTTAGGGTGTGTGAAGAGTTTGGTGTTTCAGTGACAACGCTTAGTAGAAAAGCATGAGAGGAAAGAAAAAAATCAGTAATCGTTATGGGACTTGTGTGGTGAAGAGCAAAGAGTGTTGAGCCGTTAGACGGTGAAGTTAGAAGAAATGAATGTACTGTTGTCTGGTAAACTGAACCCTGACTGGTCTGTGCAGCAAGTGAGGCAAGAAGTATTAGTGACAAGCAGTGTATTATGAAGAAAATGTATTTAAATGATTTTGAATGAGCTAAGGGTTCACAGACAGCCTTTTCTCAATGCTAGCTTCTTGTAACATTTAGCAGGTAGCAGTAGCCCTTCCATTAGGTTTTTAATACAAAGCAACATTAACTTTGGATAATTCATTGGCCCGCTGGTGCATCTCCTGTTATGTAGAAAGCTGCCCACACAATCTTCTACTGAAATAACTGGAGATCAGCAAAGTGCCCAGCTCTCTTAAAGCCACTCAAAAAGACCAGATGTTTATGCCTGTGCTGCTATTTGCTCTTTTTAAGACACCAGAGGCCACAGATTTTCCTGTTACAAAATACAGTTTTACTAGGCAAACTCAGATCTTAGTGAGATCAGGCATTTGTTATCTGTAAGGAAATAATAATTCTCTCAATTGGAATAATCCTTTTCTTTAATAATGTATTAGCTCATATAAATACAAATTTAGGTTAACCTGAAATAAAAGTTTTTAAGCAATTTTCCATTCCAAATATTGATTCTCACCAGGATAAGGAAGGATTTTTGTGTATGGATCTCTCTTAATCTGCGCTGAACGTATATAAATGTTTGGCAATAATACAGTCTCTCATTGCCGTGGCTGCACTTACATTTCTCTTTTCACCTTTCAATGCATGCAGTGACCTCTGGACACTTTTGAAGTTGTAGGGTCCTGGCTTTCAACACGAACTACTAATACATCCTCCTTCAAGTGAATGGACCAACCCAACTGAATCATCCTTTAAGTCACTACTGAGTGTTGCATGTGAATGGGGTGAATTTAAGAAAGGCAGGTAGAAAGCCCTAAAGGGTCTGCCACTGAGGTCTCCAGCACATTTTGAGCTCCCTGAGAACTGAAGCACCCTAACCTCACTTTGCTCGTTCAGTCAGTATCTGCTGATAGTGGTATGATACCAGGGCTATACCAATTCATGTTTAAGGATTTGAGGGAAGAAGCTTCTTAGGAAAGAAATTTCCAGCAGCATAGTAGACTCAGTTATATACTGGGGCAAAGTTCCAGTCCAGTCTCATTTGGTGCAGGGCTGGAGCTAAAAAAAAGTTAGTCGCCTACTCCGAAACGCTCTCCAGGGCAGCCTGTGGGTTGGTCTAATTTTTGCCATCTGGCTACAGCCTCGGAAGAGCTGTTTTTCTAGAGATCACTGAAATGCCTGGCGATCCAAGTTGAGTATTAATTGTACTATTTACATTGCTGTGATCGTGCTTAACTGCAAGATTAAATACATTGTCCCCCCTCTCCTTTTAAGAAACGCCATATTCCATAAGCTGTCCAATTCCACATTTTCCAAGACAATAACAATTCCAAATGTTGTTGTAATCCCCTTTGATGCTTTATTAAACTGGATGTGTATTTTTCATTCATTTACACGTCCTAACAGCATCAGTTTAAGTGGTGTGTTAAGCCTTTCTCCGTACATCAGAGCAACATGTAATTTTCATTTCAATTTTACCCAGTGGCTTCTAAATCTAGAGGTGATAATTACTATTTGCATTGTAATTATGTCTCGGTTGAACCAGAGGCCTTGCAATGATCTAAAAACAAAGGACATTTTGTGGCAAGATCTGGAGGGTTCTTTTGCTGCTAAAGCTCCGCGTGACTGCAGAAGGGCCTAGGGTTTGAAAACTAAAATGCGGGCTGGTTTTCCTTAGTAAGCCTTGTGTTTCTTCTCCCCAGGGGATGAGCGCTCCCGGGAGTCTCCAGCCCCAGCCGAAGCACAGATGCAAGCCGGGGCGGAAGGCGGTGGAAGGGTGAACCGCTGTTGCTGGAAATGCTCCGTGACGCAGCTCAAGAAGATTGTCTGGGGTGTGGCTATGGTCCTGGGTGTCTGCTCCTCTTGGTCAGGTTCAACCCAGCTAGCAAAACTGACCTTTAAGAAATTCGATGCACCCTTCACTCTAACGTGGTTTGCAACAAACTGGAACTTTTTATTCTTTCCTTTATATTATCTTGGACATGTTTTTAAGTCAGCTGAAAAGCAGTCTCCGAAGCAAAGATACAGGTATGGGAGCTTTTGTTTTTTCCACTGTGGCTCTTGCATGCTGCTCTATGTCTAGCAGGTATTTTATTCATGTCATAGAATCACAGAATGATTTGGTTTGGAAGTGACCTCTAGTTCCAACCCCCCTGCCACGGGCAGGAACACCTTCCACTAGACCAGGTTGCTCCAAGCCCTGTCCAACCTGGCCTTGAACACTGCCAGGGATGGGGCAGCCACAGCTTCTCTGGGCAACCTGTGCCAGCACCCCTTCACCCTCACAGGGAAGAGCTTCTTCCTTATATCTGATCTAAATATACCTTCTCTCCCTTGTCCTGTCCCTAGAGGCTCTTGTAAAATGTCCCTCTCCATATTTCTTGTAGGACCCCTTTAGGTACTGGAAGGCTGCTCTAAGGTCTCCCTGGAGCCTTCTCTTCTCCAGGCTGAACCCCAACTCTCTCAGCCTATCTTTATAGGAGAGGTACTCCAGCCTTCAAATCATCTTCAAATGCCATTTAAATCAAACTTGCATTTGCTTTCCTTTCCAGGTTTGTTAAAGGATGTTCTGAATTAATTATATAGATGCTACGTTATTATTCTTAATACAATTTCACTGCAACAGTAAGAAATCTTGGTTTATTTCCGATGCATACAAGTCACATAATGAAAGTCCACATTTGCTGCAATTACTTCTCAAGAGCTTTCTGTTCAATACTCTGTGAACATCATTTTTTTATTAATACCTTCTTCCTCTACCCACAGCTGACTTTTATGGCAATTTCTGCGTAAGCTCAGTAAGCTTTTCTGTTCCAAACTCAGGACTAGTGCAGTGTCTCGATCAGCCAAGTAAAAAGTATTGCAGTATTTTCCTGGCATTATGCCCCTGACATCAAAGGCCAAGCTCTGATCCCGGTTAAACTTGAGCTGTTGTGTTTATTTCCGGGAGGAAGCGCAGTCGTAACCAAAGCCAGCATTTTGTCTTCAGCACACCTTGTCTTTACAGCAAGCCAAACCCACAAAGCCCGTAGTGCCTGTGCTCTGTGAGGGGCTGAGGATGCTCTAGCTGTTTAAAGAACCACCTCTTGGTGAGCACTCCTTCAGCTCATCTCATTTTGGCCCGAGAGGTGTCTGGGACAGATGGGATGACTCAGCCATCAAGATGTCCTGTGTCAGAGAGCTTCCCCGATACATGGAAGGATGTGAACAATGTTTTCCCCTTCTGTTACACAGTGGGGCTCACAGGCTTTTAATGAAGTAGCTCAGAAAGTAAACAGTAAGAAGTGCACATTTCTCAGCTTCCAGCTGTGCAGCAGCGAGGTGGAAACTTACTACAGAAAAAGTCTAAGAAACCAGGGTACTCGGGAAATGCTCCACCTCAGATGACTGTGGTGCTGAAATTTTTCTGCTTAGCCATTGTTATGGTTTCTTCATCTTCAGAGTTATTTGTGGGCTGCAGATAAAGGAAATCTACTGTTCAGTGAAGGTCCTAGAGCAGCATCCACTAGTTTTAAAGGCATTTTTATCAGATGTCATGTTTCCTGTGCTTCAGTGTTCAACTTGTACTTGTTTACTCCGCAGTAAACATGCTTGCTTCAGAGACCGGAGAAGTGTAGAGGTTAGAGAAAGCAAATTTAATGTAGAACCAATAACAAATGCTAGCCCCAAAAGAACTACCTTTTCGTTTCTTTGGGTTTTAAGTATTTTTCTTCCATCTGCCCTCAGATAATGTTTTAAATACTTCTGAATTCTAGAATGAGCGGTTGTGGTTTGCCAGATCCCTGGGGTTAAAACCAGAGCATTATACACATTGTTGCTGCAGTTAATTGTTATGGTTGGTAGTTTTATGTCTTCCATTCAATTAAATGATGGCTGAGTTGAAGAGGAGGTCATGCAGCCTATTTGGAATGCAGGGGAACACCACTAAAAGTAAGCTTACAGCAGGCTTAGTAAAGAACCTGCATTTGTGTTTCTGACCAGCAGATTTGATAGGGTTAATTTACAGAGTTTTTTTCTAGGTGCCAGGGTAGACCTGGACATTTGGAGATATAGTTTTGGTTCGTAGCTTTGCTGCAGATTTATTCTGTGGTTTTGAGCAAGTCTCTATGGACATCTGATCTCCTTGTACTTTCTGTTCATTTGGATGAGTCAGTTCTTTAGGGAGGAGGGAGGACTCCCCTATCACGTGTTTACATCGTGTCTGCCTCAGCACGTCCACTGTCTAAACTGAGACCTTTCAGTGGTGCTGCACTAAAAATTACTGTGAAAAGAGTAACTGTTCATCTGCTTCCTCTGTTATGGCTGAGATGTCACATCCATGTATGTCAGAAAACCCAAGCATTGTATTCCAGCATCCCCTCTTAATTATTCCCCCTTTTTTGCATATTTTGTATATGTGTAAAAATATGCATAGAAGGAAAGACATATACCAAGACTTTGCAGCTTTATAAGAGCATTACCATCTTCCAGAAAGCTTGAACTCCGGGCATAACTGAACACCTTAGGGAGGCATTTTGTGGGCTTCTGGGTAGTTATTATAAGACAGTTCTGACCTGGAACTAAGAAGAAACTTGTATAATCAGTTTCTGTTTCCTTTATCCTTCACTTTCATGTATATTTTATGTATTATCTGAGCTCTCTGGAAGGCATTCGCAGCAAGATAAATGAAAAGGTGGTAGCGGGAGGTGGAAAAATGACATCTATGTCACCTTAGCAGTGAGGTGGTAAAGGAAGGGATTCTCAGATGTTGCCTACACAGGTTGCTAAAATCCTCAGGCACCTAATGTGTTTTGCCAGCTAAGCTCCCCAGGGACACCTGCGCAGCCACCTCCTCCTCCTCAGGACTAGGCAGCTCAGCCTCCTCTCACCATGGCACAGGCAATGCCTTCCCACCTCCTCTTCCTCAGTGGGCAGCTTCACGGGGCCTAAGCCAGCAGGCATGCTTCAGTACCAGCAGGTACCTCACTGTGCAGTTAAAGAGCATGTAAAGAACAGAAACTTTTAGGAAAAATGCACAAAACAGGGATAATAAAATGTAGCAACAGTGAATAGAGGTATAGTCCCTCAGTGTAGATTATATGGTTTATTGTGGTTTTAAATGTCTGTTGTATTGTACCAGTATGTATATACACTATACTGTAAATACATGAATTTTCCTGGTTTTTTAGTTTCACAGAAGAACATACCTGCAATGGACACAAACCAGTTTAAAGCTGCAGATTTTTTTTTAACCTCATTTTATAGCACATACAATGGTAATAAAGTTGCCAGCAAAATTTTATAGTAGTACATTAAATTTAAGAGCAGGTTTATTCAGTTTATTTATAAGACTTTGAGTATTAGGCTGTAATGTAAGGTGTTGAGTATTTCTGACTGACCCATACTGGATGGTAAGGAACACTATTTAAGCTGGAGCAGACTGTCAGTGGCTGTGTCCCTGGCATGGGGAAACAGTCACTCTCCAAAGCAAACAAAAACTCATGCATTCATAGAATCACAGAATCACGTGTCAAAACTGCTTTAGGTTCCCTGTGCAGCTCCATCAACTGCTGGAGTGCATTGGGAATTGCAGTGGGAATTGTGCCCAGGTGTAGACTGCTCAGAAAGACCTTGTGCCATGCTCACTCTCAAGGGTGCCACACACACCCTTGGCACAGGACTGTGTGTGTGGGTAGTGACGCAGAAAGCTGTGGCAGGCCACAGAAGAGCACACCAGGGTCATTGCTGCTTTTTTCTTGTGCAAGTGCTTACTAGCTTAAAATAAAATTACAGTAACTAAATTATCACTCATTTCAACCATCATCCAGTCCAGAAGTAACACATGTACTGATTTATGCGCCTAATGGATTGTCTAAGAGCACTTTGTTTCGGTTTTATACTTTCTGCTTTCAAACAGCTTTTTAAAATGGCACATTTAATCTGATGAGCTACCCTCCGTCGTACCTACATTATTAATTTATGGGGTAACATAAATTAAAAGCGCTAGGCTTAAAGTTCACTGGCTACATGAAAGTTCAAATTAAAATCTCTGTAAGATACTGCTTAGCTTTGTGTATCTCTAGGCAGGACTAAACACACCTTTCATAAAGGTTCACTCTGTGTGTGCCAACTGGGGAATAACGGAGGGCTGTGTTCACATTTTAGGAGAATACCTCAGAAGACTTGATTATTCTAATGGTACAGTCTTATCTGATGATTTTTTTGAGAAGGAAACAGCAGGACTTTTCAGAATGGTTTGTGTGATTATTTATCATTTAAATCTTGATTTTTATTTCATAAAGCACTAGGGCTAAAGAAAACACCAGAAGCTAAAGCTAAATCTTTGCTACAACCTAGAATGCACCTAATGTGTTGGGTGAATGAAAGAATCATTGCACGTACCTGCACTTATCTTTACAGCTTTAAACCTGCGTGTTTTAACAAGTTCTTTTTCACTGGGTCAGTTTTTTCTTTATACTGTCCCCAAATTAGCTGCCACTGATCTTTCAGAATTTGAAGATTTTTCTTCGAAAAGAAGAAAAAAGTTGCAGATGACACCAAAATGTAGTTATTTCTTTAAATGGATCCAGAATACTGGGAGTGACAACAGTAGACATCTAATGTAGTAGATCTCACTCTGATTTACCAACATTAATGTCACAAAAATAACTTTTGATCTATATGCATATGGGCTCAGAATCAAATCGGTTCTTCAGTGGCCAAAAGTTATCAGTGCCATAGTTTCACATGATATCCCGGAGAATGTGGGCCAGTTTCTAAAGGTATTTCATATGTATTTCTGCTAGCACAGAGGAGACAAGGCACTAACATAGCATTTCCAGCTATTCCAGGAGTTGGGTCCGTTAGTTTGATCCTGACTAAAGCAAAAGTGCAACTCACTTCACCATGGCACTCACCTCCTCTTCTGCAGCAGGCAGAGAACCCAGCAACGCTGCACTGGTAAGCAGCTGCCTGGTCGCCATGCAGCTCTAAGGGGAAAGGTGAGAGCCTGATTTGGCGAGACTGAATTCTTCCTTACTATTGATTTT